TCTCGCTGTGTCTCTGTCAAATAAATAAATAAAATCTTTAACAAAAATAAAAAACAAAAAACCACAGTGAGATCCCATTATACATTTTTTAGAATGGCTAAATTTAAGGACTTCTTATATCCTAGGTGAGAATATGGAACAGCTGAACTCTTACATGTTGCTGGTGGGGTTGCAGAATGATATAGCCACTTTAAACAACGTGGTAGGTTTTTTTTAAAAAGTTAAACAGATACCTTCCATATAAGCCAGTATTTTTCCTAGACACAAAAACCTGTGTACAAATGTTTGTAGTAGCATTGTTCAGAATCACCAAAGTCTTGAAAGAACCCAAATACTCTTCAGTGGGTAAAAGGAGAAACTAATTGTGGTATATCCACTCAGTGGAATGCTATTCAGTAAATAAAGGAACAAAGTTATACATGCAACAGAATGGATAAATCTCAAAAGCAGTATGCTAAATAAAAGAAGCCAGTCTCATGGTTACATGCTGTATGATTCCAAGTACAAGACGTTTTGGAAAAGGCAAATTATAGGAACAGAGAACAGATCAGTGGTTGGCAAGAGTTAGGGGAAAGTGGAGGGTTTGCCCAAAAAAAAGAGTGTTGGAATTGTTATGTATCCTGTTTGTGGAGATAGTTACTAGATGCTATGTGCATATGTTAAAACTCAGAACTATATGGCTAGAAGAAAGAATTCCACTGTATGTCAATTTTAAAAAATAAAAATGCTTCTCACTGTAATATACATATGTCAAAGTTCATTTAATGACACTTAACATTTGTGCATTTCACAGTCCCTAAATTTTGTATCACCTAAAAATCAAAATTGAAAACAGAAAAGTGTCTGAAAGGTGGGAAAGAAACACTTAGGTGTTCTAATTAGAAAAATTGTACCCCAAAGTATAAAAATATAACTGAATTTATTATGGCAAGGATCCATTTATTTTCCTTTTTAGCACGTGACCATGTTGTCTGTTTTCTTGACAGTATACTGTGATTCACTGATTGTTACTTAATGATGGCTAGTTTCTGGCCACAAGCTAGATAAGAGCTCTTTTGTAATCTGTTTTTCTACCACATCAATTCAGATTCATCGTATCTTCCTTTGCCTTTTGCTCACAATTCTTTCTCTCATCTGCTGACAAGGGGAAAGAATCAAGTTAGGAAAAAATCTGTTTTGAGTGTTCTCTATGAATTTGTTACATTTAAGATTTAATTATAAATTATTTTTTGACTAGCAAAACCAAGTCACACTGTATTGGTTCTGTCGGCTTTGGACTTTATAAAATAACAAACTTAACAGGGGCTTAAACATTGGAGACCATTTGTGATTCTTTGATTTGAATGGATATATTGTAGAGGTTTGCTGTGGGTGACAGTAGATGATGTCATACTAAATTTAAATTGATCTCTCAGTGTTTATCTTTAGTGCATGTGCAATTTCTTCAGCCCCACAGAACCTTTCAGAAGCATTTCCGTCAATACAGCTACCTGACAGTCATTTGTATTTTAAACTGTGCATTTGACACCTGCTGGTCTCTGTTGCATTGGAGTTAGTGGGGAACCAAAATGGGTGTACAATGAAGTTATTGGTTGGTACATCTCGGTGGGAGTTATTGAAGGGAAGAAGCAGCACTTGCAGGACCTCAGGAGAGGATAAAAAGAAACTAGCAGTTTTAACACAAGCTAGCTATTCTTTGCTACCAAAAATGATGATTTAAAAAGTGAGGCAATTCTACTGAATTAAAGTGTTTATGGACCTTGCATTTTAATTCTTGTTAAGACATACGAAGAAAGGTTTAAAATATATAATGAATTTTCAAAATGCCAAGATTTCAGTAGAAGACTGACAATTCGTATGAGCAGAAATATAAATTAAAATGGTGGAAAAATGCTTAATTTCTGAAGAAATGGAAATTAAAATGCAGGTGTCTTTTATTAAAGTAGTAAAACAATTTTTAATAAACATGTTGGCAAGCTTTCAAAGAACAGGTAGACAAATAGCAAAAATTGACTGTTTTGTCAGTATAACGTGCCCACACTTAGTCAAAGTTCTTATTTACTCAACAGATCTCAGCTTATGATGGTTTGACTTACAATTTTTTGCTTTATGGTGGTACAAAAGCAATACACATTTAGTAGGAACTATACTTTGAATTTTGATCTTTTCCCAGGCTAGTGATGTGTACTAAGATACTCCCTTGTGATGCTGGCTATCAGCAGTGAGCCACAGCTCCCAGTAAACCTCGTGATCACAGGCATCAACAACTGACACACTTACTGTACCCAGGCAACTATTGTTTCTCACTTGCAGTACAGAATTTGTTACATATCAAGTACTTTGTTATAAAATAGGCTCTGTGTTAGATGATTTTGCTCAAGTAGGGTGTTTTAAGTGTTCTGAACACATTTAAGGTAGGCTGGGTGTATTAAATGTATTCTCCACTTACGATTTTTCAATGTAGGGTAGGTTTATTGGGCTGTATCCCCCTTGTAAGTTGCAGAAATCTATATTCCTACTTTATTGGATACAACTCAAGGAGATAAAAAAAGGCTGATACGTGAATCTGCTTAGCCTTGTAATAGTCTGTTTTGCTACGGTGCATGTCTCTGTAGTGCAAATTTGCTCATAGAGTGAGTGGTAATTAGGGAAATGATGTTAATATAAGTGAGTTGTGTTGGTTCATATTCTTTCCCTTAGAATGTTTTGAAGCCATCAAAGAAAAGTTTTTTCACCATTAAAGAGAATGCTTTCGGGGCACCTCGATGGCTCAGTAGGTTAAGCGACCAACTCTTAATTTCGGCTGGGGTCATGATCTCGGGGTTCTGAGATCAAGCCACACGTCTGGGCTCTGCGCTGATTCTCTCCCTCTGCCCCACCCTCTACTCACAAGCACATGCACTCTCTAAAATATTTTTTAAAAGAGAATGCTTTAGTGGTGTATGAAGACCTCCCCCAACCCAAAAAGTGGGGGAGGGTCAGTTTCATGGCCTTGAGAAGTGCTTTGCTTTTCACAGTATTAAGTGGAGCTTAATCCAGTGAGCTGCCCATGTGGCTAAAGTTGTGAGATTTTACCTTACGCTTACAGGGAAAAAAAAAACCAAAACATGAAAAAGCTACACCCTGGTTTAAATTATTTTGATAAAATTGGTTCTACTGGCGGTGAATGCCCTCAAGGACCTCAGTTTGTATCTCAAAAAAGGACTTACAGGCTCTAGGTTAAGGCTACAGAGGATCACCTGGCCGACACAGTGCAAGAGGCTGAACAGCGCTATTTTTTGTTCAGGCTCTTCGTAGTACTCTGGTTACAAAGCTACATAGTTTTAAGTGGTTAGCCCCTAATGCTATTTTTCCCTTGAATCCTGTTAATTTTAGTGTGATTTTGCAGAACATGAGTTTTTTTTAGTTACATGTATTAAGGAAAATATATAAATGCCCAACAATAAGGGATGGTTTAAGTTTTAAGACAACATCTTGATAGACTCTAATGCATCTGTTAAAGTGAGCATAGAAACATTTCTATGAAACAAGTGCAAGAATTAGAACACAAAACTGAGCATCTACATTTCATGATTATAACTGTATAAAAATTTCGGCATATACCTGGCCGATGATAGTTATGGTTAAGATTGTAGGTAAAATTTAAAAAAAAAATTTTTTTTAATGTGTGAAGTTGGTAAAATAGAGGTAAGTTCATTTTAACAGTTTAAGCTAAATTTTTATCTTACTTTGTTTTAGAATTCCTGGAAAACTCAAGCAGTTCGTATTTGACTTACATTCTGGAAAATTGCACAGAGAATTCCATCATGGTCCTGACCCAACCGATATAGCCCCAGGACAGGTAGGATTCTTGTTTTTCAGTGGGAACTCTTTCTTTTTCAGTTAGCCTTGAAGAGGATCTAAAGCTCTTGTATAGGCTTGAGTTTCTGCTCGTAAAGATCTTTATAATGAAATTCTGAATAGACTCTAAATAATAAATTATGTTCCTTTTAAAATTAATTTTTAAAGCTAAAGAACTTCAGAAAAGTTGCAAGAATGATACAGTATAGTTTCTTGATCACATAAACTGAAGTAGTGTATGTCCTGTGGAATATGGGTAAAAGATTAAATACTATTGGCTTCAAATACAGAAGGAGGAGGTAAGAATTAGAAGTAGGTAGATCAGTGAAGAAGTCAGTGGGTTCCATTAACTGGTCAAGTCTTCCTCTGTGGCCAGGAGATTGACCACACTACAAAGAAAATAATCATTTGGTATTCTTGCAGCCTTCACCAATACAGTATTTATAATGTTCAAAACTTAAGGTTTAATGCAGCTTTTCATTTGAGATTTAGAATGCTTCACAACTATTTATGAAAATTTTGTATTTGCTTTTTATATAACTTTTAGCCTGAGAATTTGACTTTTCTACCATGTAATTTCTACTACAAATATATTTCTATGTTCCTGCTTTGTTAAACACCTCTGAAAATTGCATGTTGATGTATTATTGATTTATATCCTGTCTGTTACCATTATACTGAGAGGGAAGATGATATATAACAAAACTCTTATTTCATATGCCCAGAACTTAACTGTTTTGCCCAAGGAACCTCCACATAGAAAAATAAAATCTAGTTCAATTTTTCTTGAAGATTAAGTTGTGTCAGGAGTTCCCTTTAGGAATCCAATGACATGCTTTTTCCTTGAAGTGGGAGGTCAGATTTTTCTTTGATAATTAAGCAACTATAGAAGCAAACGGTTTGTTGGCAATAACCCAAAGGCGATTATTTCCCTCAGGAAAGTAGGCCTGCTTAATATTTTATCAGATTAGGAAAAAATGTTAGTTACCATTATTGTATTATCCTGATTTATTTCAGCTTCTCCATTAGACAGTGAACTTCTTATATTTTATAGTAATATAATTATGGCCTAAACCAAACCTATATCTAACTACAAATAAAAAATGTATTAGGGAAAGGGAACATGACAAAATAAAATGGGAAATTTGCAGACATTGCTTTCCCATTAAAAATGGGAATGAGCCAGTATCCAGGGTATGTAACACAGGCACTATGTGCCTATGTTAACTACAGGGGATATTAAAAAACAATGAGAGCATGGTTGTTCTTGAGGAGCTCATCGTGTGGAGATAAAGACTACACACCGCCTTTTCTTTGAAATTCTTGGAAGTCACTTACAGTTCTGTGTATTTTTGTCCATTGTTGGTGCACAAGTGAAATACTGCAGAAATGCGTTTCTTACAGAATGGAAGTGTTTATTTTCCTAGGTCAACTAAATTCTGGTATCCAGGTAATTGCTAAATGAAAGCTCTATCTACAGAGTAGGTGCCTTTAATCCTCTTTGTAGTCATTTTTAAGAAGGAAGGAAGGATTTGGGCCAACTTAGTCATGGTTGTGCTGCCTGTACAAAATAACCTAGAAAGCACTTAGGTGTCCGGTATTTTGTTTCCTTCCACTACACCTCAGGAACTGCCGACAGGTCCAAAGGTGTGGGCTCTATGGCAGCCTTGCCCTAGAGAGTATTATTAGTAAGGGCATTTGAATGGGGAAAGCAAGATTTCAAACTTAACTCTGGCCTTTGGCACACAGTAGCTATCTTTATTAAGCAAATAATTACAAAACAACTACCATTCATCTGGTACTTTTAATAAAACAGTATAGCTCCATAAAATATATTGATATGTTTTATTCTTTCTCTTGCAGCAAGTCCAAGACGTAGCAAGCAGTCCACCTGAGAGCTCCTTCCAGAAATTAGCACCCAGCGAATATAGGTATACTTTATTGAGGGATCGAGATGAGCTTTAAAAACTTGAAAAACAATTTGCAAGCCTTTCAAACAGCAGCATCAACTTACATGGTGGAAATAGTAAACCTATATTTTCATAATTCTATGTGTATTTTTATTTTGAATAAACTGAAAGAAGTTTTGGGTTTTTAATTTTTTTTGCTCCCCCTGACTCAAAATGCATTGTCCTTTAATATAGCCTCTTTTTAAAAATCTGTTAGGGATAAAAAAATAAAAATAAAAATCAGAGGCCTATCTTTGCTTTAAATCTGTCCTGTAAAATTTTTATAAATCAAGTGAAAGGTGACTGACAGTACCAGAAACATACCATTAACTTGCACTGCTAGGTTAGGGAGGACTTAGGGATGTCTCCTGTGTAGTATGTGCTTTTCTTTATATACGATCAATTCTGTTGGTATTTTCATTGTCACATTTCTCAAAGCTAAGAGGGTATATATTCTGGATACTTGGGAGGGGAATAAATTAAAATTTTCACACTGTGTACCGTGTTTTACTGATTGGTCGGATATTGCTTATGAAAATTCCATAGTGGTATTTTTTGGATTCTTAATATGTAACTTAAACATACTATGAAGAGGAGGAGAGCCATAAGCCAGAACATTTGGCAGAAATTGTCCTTATGAATTAAGAAAAAGAATATGAAAAGTGTTATTAAATTTCTTTGTGTTTGTCTAACGAAATGGCATATGGATGGCATTTAAAACTTTGAATTATACCTAAGTCTGAGATACTAGTAGAGTAGGTTACCAGTATTGAACCAGATGACTTTTAAGTCTCCTCCTGTCATGACACGTGAATTTCAAAGACAAAAACCAGCAGAGAAATTGTATTTCAATAATTCTGATCTTCTATCTTGTAGAGTCTTGTTATAGTAGTATAGATCAAAAACAAAGACAAGGCACATAATGTTTTCAATTTTTTTCCATTGTGAAATTGTCAGAGGACCTACCACCCCCTCTAGATTCCCTAGGCCTGCAGTGTATAGTCAAATGGGTCCCTGTGCCAGGCCTCAATAGTGCCAGGGAACAAAACCAGAGGGAGAGGACCCTCAGTGTCATATCAGGAAGCCCAATGCCAGAGGACAGACAGGTTCAAAATTGGCTTTCCTCTGGGCCTGGGTTGGTGCTATAGGCCAAGAGTCATTTTATACTTGGAGTCTAAGTCAATCCCAGTTTGGGGAAAGATTATTTTTAAGCTTAAAAGGCTGACATGTGCCATTATATGTAGTGTGTAATATATGTAACATCTTCCAATTCTTTTAAAATAAAGTGAATATTTATAATGCATATTTAATGATTGTTATTTTTAAAAAATCAGCCTAGAACTCTTAGTTATGCATGACTTAAACATCATTTCATTCAGAATAATAAATGTTGTTAATAAGGTGATAAGGGGCATGTTTAGTATATCTTACCAGATTGTTAATTAGAAAGGCAGGACAGAAATTCCTCAAGGTTGGGTCTTAGTTCTGTTCAATTCAGTGCTTTTAATCAGTAACTCTGAAATCGAAGTTGTAGTCTTCAGGTCAGAGGATGGACCAGATCTGAGGCACTTAGAATGAAAATTCATGAACATTCAACAGGGCAGCGCACAACACCAAGAGCAGCATATGCAATTAACTGGAATAAATTTATAATCCTGTAATTGGCTTTAAAAATATTATAAACAAAAGATAACACTCAAATATTGGATTGCAGAGAGCTGAATTGAGAGTGGTTATGAAAAAGGCCTCAAGGAACACATGTTCAATGTGATCGAAGGTAACGGAGTGGCTGTTAAAATAGATTTGACGCTGCATGATTTAGCTTTTATGCGTATTGGGACTTAAATGTTTATTGAATGAGTGAGATGCAAAGTGATGTCAGGTAATTTTTGTACCCCTCAAGAGCTTGAGCACTCATCAGGACTGGGTGCCCAATTTTATAAAAGGAAAAGGAAAAAAAAAAAAACTCAAGTGCAAAACACCAAAATACATTAGAGAAATTAAGTTTTTGCCATAGGGCTAGTGCATGGCTGGGGTGGCGGGGGGGAGGGTGAGGAGGCGGCGTGTGGCTAAGAAAATGAGAAAGGAAGTTAGAGAAAGAATGGGAGCTGATTGTACAAGGCCTTGAATGCCAAGCTTAAGAGGTTTGTACTGTATCTTACAGGCAGTAGAGATCCACTCACAGATTTTCAAACCAGGAAGTATGTTCATATTTAAGTATGAGAAAGGATATTGTGGCAGCGGGTCTAGATATGATAAAATGGGTCCTGCACAGGAGAGAATGGCCAGAACTAAGACATGGAGAGGAACAGATACAACAGATGACAAAAGATGTAGATTCCATTGGGATTTGTCACCAGTTGGACTACAGAGAGAACGTCCAGGTATCTAGAACTCACAATTTACACTTCTTCCCCTCTGAACCATGCATCGGAGAATGTCATAGGTGGAAGTCTTCTCATTTATCCCGTCTACTTTGGGCCTCAGGCTCCTCAGCTGTGAAGAGAGGGGATGCAAGACTGAAGAACAGCTGAGTTGCAAAACCCAAACTAGAAGCAGTCTCTTCTGCCTGTCAACCTGCTACCTTTTCGCGTTTTTAAAAAATTGGTCTAGTAGTAACGGGGACTATAAAAGGATGAAAACTTCCTCTAGATGAAATTCTAAATATGTTTTTTAAATAGTTAAATGAACCTGGAGAGGAAGCTAGAGAATAGGCATCTAAAGCATCTCATTGAGCTCCATGATGAAGTTGTCAAAGATCACATACAAAGGAAGGAAAAATTGGCATGATAAAGGCCAAAAAGGAGAGTGAAATATGTAAGTGTTGAAATATTAAAGCTCAATGAGCTTAACTTTGCAGAAAGTGCGAAATTTGCCAAGAAGGCATTAAAAAAATAGGAAAACCTGAGGGCAAAAAGAATAGATGAAGGAGTGTAATGGATTAACAATTAAGAAAAGCAGAATAACTCAACTTTTGTTTTTTCTCTGACAAGGAGATGTAGTCTAGCAGGGCTAAAATAAAATGACATTAAACAAAAAAGCAAAAATGAGAAGTAAAAACAATCTTGCCACCTTAAATAATTTCAGGGCTCTTTGGACCAAAGAGTATCCCAAAGAGCTGCTGGAAGTTACAAGTGCTTTCTGTTAGCAACTATTGGAAATCATGAAGAATGCATGGTGACAGAAGACTGGAAATGAACACACAGTATTCCAGTTTTCAAAGTAACTACAGTTAAATGGCTTTAATCATTTTTCTAAATAAAACATTTCATGAATCAAACTGAAGTTAGTAATTTTTTTGGGGGGGGGGAAGATTTAAATAGGTGATAAGAGTAAAACAGTAATCAGTTTTTAAGCCCAATATTTAAAGACCCTGAAGACAATAAGTTGTTTCAGGACTTAAATTGTTTTATGTGGATTATAACTGTTTTATGTGTTCATTAAAACAGGTTGGATAGGACCTCTGCTTGGCAACTGTTTTTTAGCTGTGTTTGAATTTTTGTATGTGTTTCCAAGTAATAAAACTATAAAATATTTCTATATTTTAGATTTTTTACTAATTCGTCATAAATATCCTAATGTGAACATTTTACTCTGAATCCAGATGACCAGTCGCAAGCTTCTCCAGTTTTTATTTTTTAATTATTTAATTGTACTTGAATCAGAATGGGAAGCTATATGAACCCATATGCTGATAGCTCAAACCTGCCTTCAGTTGAAGCATCAAAGCTCCCCCTTGCAGAGCACTTTGAGGGAGGGCTGGCCTGCCCTTAAGACAATAGGTTTTGGAGAGGAGGAGGAAAAGTGCAGCCTACAAACTGCTCTTCTAAAATTCCCCCTCTCCTCCTCCCCTGCCTGGCCTAATAAATTCTATCCGTCCTTCAATGCCGAGGACAATTATCACCCCGTGGTCCCACAACTCTTTATGTATTTTAGAAGACCCAGTCTAATACACAGTTGGAAGTACATGTATCCCTTTCTCATACCATGTGAATGCCGTAGATGCAGGAACTCCTCTACCTTTGTATTCCCAGCAATCTAGAGCACTGTAAGATCAGTAATTCTTATGGGAAAAAAAAAAAAAAGCCAAATTACATAATAAATGAACAAAGGACAAGAAAATATCACCATTAACTAGAATGGACTCTGCTCCAGGAAAATTATTAATAGAGGCTGTCATTTTTCTCTATTAACATCTTACTGTAGGGGCACCTGGGTGGTGCAGTCAGTTAAGCATCCAACTCTTGGTTTTGGCTCAGGTCGTGATCTCAGGGTCGGTGGGGGGGTGGGGGGGGGCGGCGGACAGAGCCCTGCATGGGGTTCCGCACTCAGCGGGGAGTTTGCTTGAGGATTCTCTCCCTCTGCCCTCCCGCTCTCTCTCTCAAATAAATAAATCTTAAAAAAATACCTTGCTGTAATAGCAAAGCATTGCTAAGAATTGATCAGCTCTGTTGTCCCAGCTCTGGGCCAATCAGAAGATCATGTACTTGCCTATCTGTGCTGTGTCTCATTTTACTTATTGGGATGGGTGACAGGAAGTAAGCTGCATGGCCACTCTCTGATGCCATTTGTAAACTTGTACATGACACAGGGAGGATCAGATAAATCATGGAAGCCTGATACTATGATTGTTTTCTTGCCCTAACCACTGCCCAAAAGGGCATCTATTCTGACTTACCAATTCTTCATATCTTCATAATGAGCATGGCTTTCCGATTTAACATACTGTTTAATAGTCTATTTCAGAATTTTTCTATATTATAAGGTAAATTACCTGGTCTGTGGCTTCTGAAATAGAACTTTACCTCTTAAATTTTAGACTTTTGCCCAAGCTCAGTGTTCTGGCACCTTTTCTATTTTCTGGTCCCTCAGAAATTACTGGTGGTGCTTTACAATCACATCTACAAGTTCCCACTAACCTTAGGAGGATGCTTTTTATCTAAGCCTAGAAACAATAAATTCTTTTAACACATGGATGCTTTTCTGAGGGGGAGGGAGGGAACAGCTCAGCACTTCTTTTCATTGCCCTTATAACTACGGTGACCACCCTGTAAGACAGGCAAGGTATCAACAGGGAAAGGGAAATTCTAGAAGGGGAAGGCTAAGGAAGTCCTGAGTTGTTGACCCTCACCCTAACCCCAATAACAGGCAGCAATCTGTCACGAACAATTAAACCCAGAGAGGAAAGAAAGGGAACTAGCGTCCATGAAGAATTATTAAGTGCCGCGCACCTTACTCCCTTTCATTCCTATCAACTCACTGAGAGGCTGTTTGGTGGGAAAAGTACATGAACTTGGGTACTGGAGACCTTGGTCAAAATCCTGTCTCATGCCTACCTCTTAACTTCGGCTCTGCCCTTTCTTGATTCCAGTCCTTGCCTGCCTAACAGCAATTACATTCCTGCTGCTACTCCGTTTCAATATTAGGCCATCAGACTGTAAATCCTTCTTGGGTGCCTACTGTTCTGACCCCATCAATCCTATGGTAAGACAGAAGATAAACCCAACTTTTCCACACCATTTCTTCAGTGATTCAGGTCCTGTATCTTCTTTAAGTCAAGACTTTTAGCTGGAAAAAGAAATATCTTTACCTCCAAATTCTTCAATTTTCAATTCGTGGCTCCCAAGTCCTGGAGGTGTTTTCCAGATTTCTTCTGTTGCATCACTCAGTCCTAGGTTAATAGACAAAAGTGAGTACTGAGCAAAGGTTTGAAATGCCTTAGGAGACTTTTTCACATTTCCATGCATATCCCCGAAAGATGGCACCACACACATGCTAGGACCTCATCATTCATTACGTGGAAGTCACTCTTGGGGGGTATTTCTTTTCCCCTTCTCATCACTATATTTCATGCCATAAAATATTCCAAGAAACAGATGACATAGTCCCTGCCCTGAAAGCAGCTTACAATCTAGTTGGCGAGATCATACCACCACAAATGAAAGTTTATAGCTATGAAGTTATAAAACATTGCAGAATTCGCCACAAGTGAATGAAGCCAATGAATTGCAGTGGTTAAGAAATACTGTAGAAATGGAAAACTGGACCATGAAAGTCTTGGACACTAACAGGTTAAGTTTCATGACTATTTATTTTCTCAGTGGGTTTTCAATATCTATGGAATGAATAGCAGGACAGGAAGAAAGCAGGCATTCAATATAAAGCTGGGGATCTCACAGTGGAGAGACAAGAAAGCACAAATCACTTCTTGCATGTGGGAAAGGAAAGCAAATATGCCAAATATACCAAGAACTCCGGCAAAGGTGAGGTTTACTAACTTGCTTGGCAAGGAAGGCAAAAGAACTCCAAAGAGTTCTAACAGTCTTATCTGATAGAAAGCAACACATGAATTCCTTTAAACAAAGAATTATTCAGTTAAAAACATGTATAACCACCCCAGTCGATATTTCCATCCTACCAGCTTCATCACTCACAAGTTTAATTCCTTGGTTTTCTCTGAGCACACTGCTTTTTCGTGTTTTCAACCCTTTGTACATGGAATTCCTCTGCCACCTCAAAGCCCACAACTCTGTCTTCAGTCAGCCATAACCTTCTTGGAGGTACTGGGAAAGGTACATGACTTGGGTATTGGAGACCTTGGTCAAGATCCTAACCCATGCCTACCTCTTAACACATTGTTAAGAGCCTTCCCCTTCTCTTCCAGGCAGCAAATCACTCCATCTTCTGTGTACCTTCATCCTACTTTGTTTATTCCTCTTTTAAGATACTTAACCACGTTCCTGTGATTTACTTGCTTTGTGTACCTGAATTCATTAGCTTGAATGATTTACAAGGGTAGATTCTACAGGTCTAATATTTTTCTATATATGGCTCTGGCATGCAACACACACAGGCATTCAATTCAATGTTTGTTGAATGAATTTATTGCATGTTTCCTTATACAAGCCCCACTCAACAACATAATGAATTCAGTAAGCTTTACAGAATTTGTAGAATTCTCACCACTGGTCTTTTCTTGTGCTGACCCTTGCTAACATCAAGGGTTTAATAGGGGGTTTAATTAATGAAACCCAGGTAAACATCTTTTTAATGATTAACCATAATACAAGAAAATCTCAAGTACTTGAGAAATGTATGAATAACATGTACTCTTGAGTTGTTTTTCTCAAATATTTATTAGTCAAGTTTCTCACAGGAGCTAGACAATAGTCCATTCAAGGCTGGAGTATCTATGCTGCTGAAGAAAAATCCCCATGCTCTGGCTATCAGAAGCACAGGTGACAAGACTGACATTGTTTCAGAGGTTAAGAAATTAAATGTAATTTCTTCTGGGGGGACAAAAGATTTTCCTTAAGAAACAACTTTTAGGCTGACTAGTTGTGTAAAATGTAGTACTGCAGAATTTTCATCTAGACAAATGTAAACAGTTTATTACCAGTTCCTAACTTCACCATAGAAACACCTTAAAATCATTTTTATGGAATGTCTGATTCTCAGTGGCATTGTCAGATGGTGAGTAGTTGAGTTTGAAGAGATAAAGCTGGGGCCAGAATATGGAAAGCTGTGAATGCCAACCTACGGGATTTGAACTTTATCAAGTATTCAGTGGGAGCCACTGGAAATATTTCAGCAGAATAATGGAAGAGGGACCTAGTTCTCATTCTTGTGGCACTGATGTGAGGAATGGCTTAAAGTTGGGGGAAATGAGGTGGGGGGTGTGAGGTAACAGTTTTTTACTAGAGTGATGACCATGAATATATTTATAAATAGATGCAACTAACATTCAAAGTAGAATTGACAGGACCCAGTAAGAGGCTAGATACGAAGAATAGAGTGTCAAGTTGCTAACCACTGAGGTTTATGGTTGGCAAATCCCTGGCTGGAATAGGAGAAGGCAGCCACCACTGAGAAAAAGCTTACCATGGGAGAGAGAGCCAAAATTAGCACTCTGATCTCCTGATCCCCCATCTAATTTTTTTCACTATAGCTATTGCCTCATCTGGAATTTAAGCTGGTCTGAAAGACCATAAGCCTCAGCATGCAACTTGATATGGCATAACAAAACCTTAGTTAAATTACTTCGAGGGTATTTTCTTTTTTCTTAGACCTTGGTATAATTCTAGCTGTTGTGCCAACTAGCTTTGATCTTGGGCAAATAATTTTTATTCAATTTATTTCTTTTGTTAAATTTGCACAGATATATTTCTTATCTCCAAAAACAAATAATTTCTTTGAGAGTGGTGATGTGGATAATAATATTCATCTTTTGCCATTGATTGTTTATAATACCCAAGAAGTTCCTCTGTAAAACGGTGTCAAATTAATGAATATAAATAGCAAGAACCACCTGTTAGAAACAAAATGTTGTTAAAAACACAAACAGAACCTGAACTGTTTACATTAATTTAGGCTCCCAGGGAAGCTTTCCTGCCTTTTATTAGTCCTATGACTCCTTACGAACATTGTCCAACATTCGTAAGTACCTGACATCCAAAGCCACATTGTACTTTAATACAAGAGATAATACAAGAGAAAAACATGTCCATTTCACAGGAGAGCCTTTTCCCCAGGCTTTTCATCATCCTTCCTCCCAGCTTTTATGTGGCAGCAATGAAGGGCAAAGGAGACCCTGAGAAACACCTTTCAGTTTTAAGTTAACACAAAGCATGGCTTGGGTTAGTTTCTGTTCTTCACTGCAGAGAAATGCTGTACATTACATACTTACATTTTAGGCTTCCTCACCTTCCTGTGATTGATATTACCAGTATTCAGTCCTTAGTCCTGTGCAAACTACTTACAACACTTACAGGCAGCCCACAGAGAAAGGTTTCTGGACTTGTAGGATCCTCCCTTTACAGCATTCAGCTTCACTATAAACTAAAAGTTCTTGCTCCAGGAACTCTGGCCAGCATACCCCCCGTCTGGGCACCCTTAGGTCATTGGCTCCAGCATAGGTGGGTAGGAGAGCTAAGCCAGCAGAAGAAAAGCAAAACTGAGAATGGAAGAGAGGAGAGGTCATAAGGACAAGGGAGTGTAATCCGTGACTAATAAACACTGAGATGCCTTTTCTATGTGGTTTGCAAAATGTCTTTGGAGGCAATTCCAAAAGTAAAGTTTCAAAAATGTTCTAAGTAATACTAATATCCCTACAGTAAGTACGTGGCTTCCCAAGAGTACCATTTTAAAAAGACAGGGGCGCCTGGGTGGCTCAGTTGGTTAAGCGACTGCCTTCGGCTCAGGTCATGATCCTGGAGTCCTGGGATCGAGTCCCACGTCGGGCTCCCTGCTCAGTGGGGAGTCTGCTTCTCTCTCTGACCCTCCCCCCTCTCATGCTCTCTATCTCATTCTCTCTCTCAAATAAATAAATAAAATCTTTAAAAAAAATAAAATAAAATAAAAAGACAGTAATCATTTGATTCTGAGTTACGATAGATTTAAAAAAAAAAACAGACTTCATTTTCAATATAAAAAAGCACTGCTGAAGAGATGGCTATAACCCATGGAATACGAGGAAATTTGTAGGGATGTGTAGGTGGGACGGAAACATTTTTAATTTTACAGTCTAAGGACCAAATTCAGCACTAGGTACCTTCTACATCAGCCACTATTAAAAACTTTGAGGCTGCAGGACACTTCATGACAAAAGATTAAAAAAAAAAAAAAAAACTGCAAACAAACAGCACATGTAATTTCACAGCAAGCCTGCCTTATGGAATATACCAGTATTTGGGTGAAGCAGGATGAATGGCCTACCTTAATTTTATATACAGAAGCAGCATGGTATGAGAGTAACAAATTTTTGTAGTTCAAGAGACCTAGTTAACATCCCTCTGGTTTCAACCTTTTACAGCTGAATAACCTTCTGCAAGTCACTCAACTTCTCTGAGACTCAGTTTCCTTACCTGTAAAATGCCTAGCGAAGTGCCTGGAAAACAGAAGATATTCAATAAATATCCGTTCCTCCATACGGTGTCTTCTTCTTTTCAAACTAAGGGTCACAACCCATTGGTAGGTTATGAAATCAATTTGGTAGGTTGCAACCAGCAATATTTTAAAAACTGAAATAAAAAACATCAGAGTACACTACACATAATGGTATTCTCCATTATACATATTCTGAGTTTTTATATAAATGCATTTTTTACTGTGGGCTACAACCACAAAGTTTCAAAGTCTCTGCTCTACAGAGAAATTCTCAGATTATTGTATCAGAAAGAGTTTAGAAAAACAAAAAAGGTCTTTAGAAGCACTTTTATTCAAATGAACCTCTATTTCCCCCCTCTATTCTGTACTTTTCACCCCTGTAATTTAATTTTATAACTGGAAGTTTGTACCTCTGTAAATTTTAAGAACTTAATCAAAGTGACCCTTATCTTCTAACTTCAATCTAGTAAAAATAAGACATGAATCACAGAGAAGATAAATTTAATCTGATACCCTAGGGCATTAAATTCAGTTTAAGATTGGTTTCTGTGTCATATTAACTAATTCATACCTCTAAGCACTTTACAGTTTATAGGTATATAATTTATAGTTGATTAAACACTTCTAGAAATTTCTACAAAAAGTTAGCTATTAGATTCTATTATGGGGAAATTAGATACAATTTCTAAATGATTTTAAACTATAAAACTTTTTAAAAGGACTGCAATTTGCCTGAGCATGAAGACTTCTGGAGTAATATTCCAATCCTGATGAGTAGTAAAAATCAAAGTCCTATATGAGCACATACAGTGGTATCCCAAACTGGCTGATGAAAAATGCAAGATCCTCAAACAAAATGTAAGCTTCAATTACAATAGGCCTCCTCTCTCCTCCAGTTTCCGTGTAAAACTAGCCTGATAGGGTAATGAGTCCCTAGTGCCATTAAGATGGTGGGCTAAGGGTAGGGGGCACCTGGGTGGCACAGTCGGTTAAACGCGTCCGACTCTTGGTCTCACAACTCAGGGTCGTGAGACTGAGCCCCGCATCAGACTCTATGCTCAGTGTGGAGTCTGCTTAAGACTCCCTCTGCCCCTCCCGCTCATGCTGTCTTTCTCTCTTTCTAAAATAAATCAACATTAAAAAAAAAAAAAAAAGATGGTGGGCTAAAAAGTGTAGCCAGTTGTGGGTTGGCAGAGTGAGAATGATATGGAGCAATGAAGATTGGGCCACATTGAAGGGGAGAATACTTGGAAATTACAGAATTCAATGATACGGCTGAATCTTGATGTAACTATACTTTAAATTCATAATTTTAGCTGACCAGGCCAGACTGGCTGGCCATTGTTAGAGTTACCTATGCGACTGAAGTTTAGCAATCTTGTTTTAAATAAGCACTCTGGATGAGTCCTCGTTCTGGTTTGAATACTCTGTGTTAAAGGACAGCAAAGATCAGAAAATATTTAAAAGGGTGGAGTTCCAAAATAATTACCCTAACCTTACAGGTATCCAGTATCAAATACTGCATCAGAATCTGACACTTATTCAAAGCACTTCCTTTCTGGCATCATACTGAAGATACAAGTCAGCAGATAGCAATACTTGATATTTTCCAGTTATTTAATGCCAGTAAGAAACGGTGCTTTCTCTTCATTAGACTTCATTGGTGAGAGTCAAAAAAGTGTGAGAGAAAGGTCTATCTACATTAGACAAAGAAGTAAAAGGTAGCAAACAAACAATACAAATTAAGAGTAAACTCAACGAGAGAGAAGTGATAAACCATTCAATCACCTGAGGAATCTGTTTGGCTCCTGAGCTCACACATTTTGTGGTAAAGGTGCCCATTTCTCTGCTCTCAGAAAACGGTAAAGATTAAGGCAAAAGGTGGCTCCTTCCTATTTCAAATGAATTGGGGGTACAGGATGAGGCTACCTGTTTTGGCTATTTGAGATAGACACTGGATTGGGCTGGGCCATGCTTGCTATCAATGTCAAGTGTTGGGGTTAGCACCACAAATCCTTCATCAGGATCAGTCTTGGCACCAGGCTTTGTCTATCAGCTTCAATGTGAGAAAAGACTAGCAAGAATGCCATTCTTAGGAAGAAATAACAGCTGTGAAAAGTAAAGCAAAGCATAGAGACAGCAAAGCCTGGGGAAAGGATGGTAGTAACAGAAGTGAGGTAGAAAGCTAGTTCTTAGCTCCCCAAAGGGCCAGCTGAAAAGACTTAGGGTCAGAGATTCCTTGTGTGCCCCGTACATCAGTCTCTTGAAATTTTAAGATGCCCCAAGAAATGAGCTGGTGTCCCCCTGTCTTCTGCTTATTTTTTTACCTCACACTCTAACAATGTTGGAAATATTTGGAGCTTTCTCTTCCTTTCTCTCTTTAACCTAGAGGTTACAGGAAAAGATGAACAGACATGGGAGACAATACAAGAAAGCAGATTATGAGAAGTCCTCATTACACATGGGTAGAATTCACCCCACAAGCCAAAGAACTTTGCAGAATTACAAGGCAGGGAAGGCAGAGGGCACTAGATCTTTGAGGTGTTAAGAGACAGGCTGACAGACCAAGCTTAGTGACTGGCTTAATAGTCCCCTATCACTTGAGATTCTGTGTTCTTTATTTAAAGAGACAGAAGGAGAAATTCAGAGAAGAAGCCAGTGTCACAAATTAAGGTATCTCAAAGAGTAGTTGTACCTCTCTTTCCTTTTTCTTACACTATTAGTGTCCTTCACCAGAAAACACAGGTGGACCAAACTGTAATAGGGTTCACCAAATGGACTCCATTCTGTAGTTCACCTGCGCCCCTTACTAGATCCTGATTTCCTTATTTGATAAGAAAGGCTCCTGAACTCCCCATTCTTTTCTTTGTTAACAGGCCTAAATAACCTCCTATATTTAGGAGATAAATAAGCATATTCAGAATACACTTAGCCTTAGGGTCTCCAAGTCAGGGTTATGGAATAGACTAGTCTTCCATAATCCATCATATCCATACATCTCAAGTCCTTATCAAAGTTATAAATTCATTTTTCACATTTCCAGGCAAAAATCTGCTCCCTGGCAGTCCTTAAACTTTACCTGACAACATTACACACCCTCAACCCAGGCTCCTCAATCTCTAACATCTCCACTAACACTCCAGCAAACAAAAAGATATATCCACTTATCACAGTTCAATCCCATTTGAGCATCTACAGCCACTATCTTGACATAATCATGTTCCAAAAGCTGACTGAGTGTCCAACAGTAGCAAAGGTCCTCATTAGGATAAACATATTGGTGCCAATAATACTGAAGTTTGGTTTTTAACTGCATTTTTTGTCAGTTTGGCTGGGAAGATCTGGACAGCTGGAAGTGAGCTTCTCCATCATTTTCTGTTTCTTTCTTTGTATCAATTTTCCACCTGTGAAGCCCAACACCCCACCACCAAGTGCAGCTGCAATTCCTGCCACTTTGAAGCCTGCAAGGAGGCCAATCGGACCCCCCACCACTCCTCCGATGAGTGCACCTGCCACAGGCAGAGCTGCCAGCTTGTATTTTGCAGCCTGTAAAAAAAAAAAAAAAAAAAATTCAATTTAGAAATTGAGTTGAGAATATCTGCCTGTGGTGATGTGCATTTTCCTCTCATTACTCCTGGCAATGCTTCTTTAACTCTTGGTACATAATTAACCTTAGAGATTGGGGGGTGGGGGGAGTATTCCACAGGTACTACAATTGCTCCTCATCTCAGAACTTGGAGAAATGAGCTACAAAAAGTGGACTACTACAAATTGATTTTACTTGCAAAACAATCAATCCACTAACTATCTAGCAAACTTATTTAAACAGTTTCAGCTGCTATAGATACCCCCAAAGCTTTTATGTTGCATAGAGATTATCCTGTGCTGTATACCTGGGGTTAAAAGCAATATTCTAGGGCGCCTGGGTGGCTCAGTTGGTTGAGCGACTGCCTTCGGCTCAGGTCATGATCCTGGAGTCCCGGGATCGAGTCCCGCATCGGGCTCCCT